AGCAGAACGAATGTTGATCGATTTCTACAACGCCCCTGGAAAGAGTGGTCTTCAACTAAATCTAATGAAAGCAACTGAGAAACGGATGGTTTTTGAATGCCCCATTCGCGCTCAACGGAACGACAATCATGAAATCAAAATGAAGAAGAACCTAGCTGCGGAGATGAGCAGAAGGAAACGAGAGGCCTGGAAACGTTTAAGAGCATCGAAGATGTATTGAAGAGAACAAGAAACATCCGATTCCGTGCACCCCTTTTCGACTCGACGTACTGCTGCCCTAGCGTACGCAGCAGAAACGTGGTCGTTACGTAAACAGGATGAATGATCAGTTGGCGTTATCGAACGCGCAGTCGAGAGGTCGCTAGTGGAAGTACCCCGTATCTCGCAAATGAGAGAAAAGATCCGAAGTTCCGACTCACGTCAATGATCGAACATCAAAGACGCCATTCTACACGCCAGGATATCGAAAATAAGGTGGGCCGGACACGTGATGCGCTTCAACGGCAACCGATGGACGAGAGCCGTTACCTATTGGATTCCTCGGGACATCAAGCGCTCCACAAAAAGACCACCGACCCATTGGTCCGATTTCTTCACGAAAGCTATAGAAGAAAGACATGATGCTTAGCAAATCCTTAGAGCGAGGAGGACCCACTGGGCTACTGTTGCACGTGACTGGTGAAAATGGAAGTGTTGCTGGTACTCGAGTCACTCAACGACTAACGGAACGACAAGTGATACAGGTGATCGTTTATATAGGGTCATATTCCGATAGATTATATTACGATATGTTCTGAGCTGCTCGATGAAATCGCCAGTGAAGAGTCGACCGCAATCTTGTATGCTAATCGCAAAATCACTTTTACTGATTAATATTTTGAGAAAAACAATGCTCGATGTTCACCAGATGCGGTGAGTATCTACCTCAATGCTCGAACTATCGCCTCGAGCTAGTACGGGTTTTCCTCTTCGTTTACTTCTCTCATTCAGTTGCCTTGTGTCATTTTAAGTTTCGTTTCAGTTAACGAGGGCCGGCTTTGTGTATTCTGGTAGTCGGACGGAACCAGCGACAGCGAAATGTGTGTTTTGTTTTAAGAAAAGGATATTTGCAACAGAGGATGATCCATGGTGGAGCGCATTTTTTTCGAGTTCATTCATTGTCGAATATTTCTCAACCTACCAAATAGTGTAGGGTGGTGTGCAAAAACATTTGCGTCAGCCGGGATCTGAACTTAAATCTCACTCTTTCTGGGAGCGCCGGAGGTGCAGCGGATCAGCACCAGCTCCTGGAAGAGTGATATTTGGGCTCTAATTCTGGCTGATGCAATTGTTTTTGCTCACAACTCTGCACTATTTTGTATATTGTAACATAATAACACCTCAAGTGGCGGTCAAGTAAAAAGAATTCTGATTTACTTCTCAATCGTCCATCAACTTAGGGAATAACATTGATCGCATGCTTAAAACTGTATAACAAGCTCGAAGAGAAGGACAGACGGTGCGCGAATTTAATTCAATCATTGTTTAATATTATTATTGTACTATTATTATCCCTTTATCTCGAGTGCTTTGTTTAGACCACGCTCAAATATTAATATATCCTTGAAACATTATTTCAGCCAGCATGTCATGTGGTCTGGTAAGGGCACTTGTACAGCCCGAGACACGTATTTCGTCCTTACAGACTCATCAGCCGGGCAGAACCCGTCGCCTGTCGATCTTTTTATAGTCAGTTCTCTCCGGAGCGTTACACTCCTTATAGAGAGTCATCGACGACGTACGCTTTACACTCTATCTCAAGTGAAACATTCACCTAACACAGAGTGTTGTGCACTCGATTGCTCATTGGCAGGTATCTTTATCATAATTATACCTTTATCTTGAGTGCTTTGTTTAGACCACTCTTAAATTTCAGTATATCCTTTCATAATAATTTCAGCCAACATGTCATGTGGTCTGGTAAGGGCTCTTGTACAGCCCGAGACACGTGTTTCGTCCTTACAGACGTCGTCGATGACTCTCTATAAGGAGTGTAATGCTCCCGAGAGAACTGACCATAAAAAGATCGACAAACGACGGGTTCTGCCCGGCTGATGAGTCTGTAAGGACGAAACACGTGTCTCGGGCTGTCCAAGAGCCCTTACCAGACCACTATTATTATTTATTATCATTATTTATCACTCTTTAAGCGATTATTAATATTATTATCGGTTTTGTTATTATTATCGTTTGGTTGCCCGTTGACGGCGGCAAAAAACCTCAACTGTTCATTCATGAAGGCATCCACTCGTCAGTTGTCCCACCAACGGTGCTTGAAGCTCATGCAGCCAACATCACCATTTTTTCTTATTTTACTTAATTATCCTGCTTACAGGATGTCTTCATGGCCGCTGTTATCACTATCCACAAAGGACTCTCTGCTGTTCGGAATGTAACCGCCATTATTGCCGTTGCTCTGCAAAAATAGAACCAGTGCTCGCAAGCGTCACAATCTTAGGACGACTTACAATCAAGTTCATTGTACTGTTCGTCTGTACCGAATAAACCTTCAAATTTACAACCTCGTACTTGCTGAAAAAGGAAAACAAGGAGGTATTCTTGAAATGATAATCGCTTTGGTGAAGAAACGAAAAGAACAGTCGATGGAGAGATGAAAAGACGGACAGGAATGTCTGATCTATCAAAGAAGAATATCAAGTGGAAGTGTGCAAATATGAGAAAGAGGATGAGGAAGTCAATTAAGAAGTGATGAATGGAGGTCGAAGAACTGAAAGCTCTGTGTCGGCGATGGATTTCAGCTTAAGAGGCAGTTCTGAACTCGACTAGCAAATTAGTTCGGAGAAGATAGGCTTAGCTACTGATACTCTTTTGAATAGGCATTAAATGGAGTTGACCAGTTGTGCCTGAGTACTAAAGTGGTAATAAAAGTTGCTTTTTTAAGCTTTCAGATCTCCTCAAGCTACAGACGTTAGCCCAAAGAGATGCCGAAGAAGTCGATTGTCAGGGTGGGTCTAATACATTTTATGCAAAAGCAGGTACCTCTCACGCTTTAACTTGTCATTTTTGATATTAAGTGTAATAGGATGACTCGTGTTGCTTGATCCATAAGAATTCATATTGCTTTTCTTAATCTACAAAATGGCTCGTATGCTTTCATGCTGTACTGATGTAGTTTAGAAAAAGAGTTTATTGCGATGCTTGTGACAGGGAATTCGCGCCAAAATGCATGCTTTGAAAACACATTGCCTTCCACCATTTGTGAAAAATCTTGTTTTTTAGAAATCTTGAAGCTATATACATTAGAGGTTATTCTAGGAATCAGCGCGAATATTCTTGTGGCAAATGTGGGCAATGGTTTGCTAGCCGAAATGGTGAATATTCAGTGGTGTACTGACTTATCTTCGCCTTTCCTTATACAAGCTTGTTCTTTAAGGCTATCTTAAGGTTTTTTGAAGGAACAATAATTTCCATAATTCGTGAGACTTTTGCGATGTCAGTGTCGACTTTCTAAAAGTTTCGACACTGGGGCAATAACCACTAAATTTGTTACAAAAAGTTAATAAAATTGCATAATTTTGGTGCCATTCAATTGCGCATTCGCTTGCGAACATTTTACTGTACAACTTTCCTGTGCATCTTCCAAGATGGAGCTATCCTAGGAATAAATTTGTTCACAACTCATGTATTGATGGCGCGTTGGGAAAATATTAGTGACTCAGTGCGCAAGATTACTGGAGCTTCCTGTGAACGCTCTACCATATTTTTGGCGTTTTTCGTTTTTTACTCTATCTAAGTGTTTTTTCTTAGCGACCCCAGCAGTACTGACTTGCAAAAATTAGAACGCCTTATCTGTGGAATTTTAAGGCACTTATGATTGTGCTCTAAGCATGACGTTAGAATCATTTTGAGGTTTAAATAGAAGTTCTTTTTCAAAATCTGGTGATCTATCTCGTTTTTTTCCTTTTCTTGCACTTGTTTTTCTGAGACAATTGCTATGTCTATTATAATCTCTTTTTCTGTGCATATATAAGCCATTTCAATCACTTTCAAAAGTTTACAAGTATGTAGACAGCTGTAAGAAAAAGTTTATCGGATAATTTACAGGTACTTTACACTCCTTTCGTACTTGTCGTATTCGCCTTCGATAATGTACTGCTGAAGTGCACAAAGAAAGCTATTCCGGTAACTAAGTGTAATATTATAGTCGCCAAGATTCAAGCTATCGTATGATTACTAAAACTCTGAAAAAGTGCTAAACTCTGATCCCCGAAGATCGAAAGATGAATTTATAAAATAGAATCATACCAATATTTTATTTAAATTCCTCCAGGGCAAGAGATGCACCGATTTCCTTCTCTCGACTAATGCAACTATGGAGCACCGGCTCGGATCATTCGGGTAAGGAGAGGTCGAAACATTTCGAAACACCGGCACAACGATTCGTTCGTTTCGACAAGTTTGTGAAATTGATTCAATGAGCTGAGTGAGTATTTCTAATTCTGGATACTAGATTATGACATAGAGGCAGCAGCTATGGTAGGATTATCGCTAGCTATCATCCGTTAAGATGGCTTTTATTTTTCATTGCTTCATCGCGAGGTATCTCCGTGTAGAGCATGATGGAAGCGGAGACTAGATCAAAAGTATGCAATTTTAGTTTTCCTCAAATATTAGGTCTCCAACTTAGTTTCCAAGCTTGATTTAAAACTTTGAAAATTTATTTTTTCAGGCAATCGAAAGTATTACATAACATTAATTGAAGCATTCTCCGTCTGCCTGAGTGCAATTCTGCCAACGCTCTGGTATCAAGTCATTTTAGAGATTTTGAAAGATGCAGGCAAGAAATGGCACAAGCGCAGTTGGATTCCGCACGATGTCACCACACAAGCTCAAAAGAGCAACAGAAACCATATTGAGCAAGCACATCTTCGTCGTCATCATCGCTCTTCGTTTTTAAACAGATTTGTCACCCAGTGATGTAGAGCGATGTGCAGAACTTTTGCGTCAGCTGGAACTCGAACCCACATCCTACTCTATCCGAGAGCGCGTGCTCTAACCCGTTGCACTACTGACGCCCATTTTGCACATCACTCTTCCTGCTCCACAGCGCATCTAAAGTATTGCACATCACTCTGCAACACTGGCTATATTTGAAACATCATATTACCACTAAAAGCGGCCAAACAAAATGATTTCGATTTGATCATTCAGTACCCAATGTCTCTCAGTTTGACTGGATTCATTGTCAATACTGACTTCCCTGGCCAGGCCGTTGACGGTTGGTGGCTGACAGGTAGATGCCCTATAGCGTAGAAAGAGTGGTATACAAAATGGGAGTCAGTAGTGCAACGGGTTAGAGCACGCGCTACCGAATAGAGTGAGATGTGGGTCCGTGTCCTGCCCGACGCAAACGTTTTGCGCATCACTCTACATTACTGGGTATATCTGAAACACCATACCACTGCTATAAGCGGTCAAACAAGACAAATTTGAAAATTGAATGCCGATTGATTATTGATCCCCAAGATCTGTCAGCATAACTGGGCTCAATGAAGTTAGCGATTGCCCCTCCATAGCGTCTACGATTGGCTGTTGATAGATAACACGTTGTAGCGGACAAAGAGTGCTATGCAAGACAAGCGTCGGTGGTGCAACGGTTAGCACACGCTCCCGGAAATAGTGGGATCTAGGTTCGAATCCCGGCTGACGCAAATGTCTTTGCTCAGCACTTTGCATTATTGGGATTATTATAAGATCGTGCCGCCGCAAGAGGAGGTCAAATAGATGAATGCCAATTCGAAAGTGTCACCACTGATGAAAAGTGGTTTTTTCGAGAGCTAGCGTCTTCCAAATCATTGGTTGTCATCACGTCAACAAGGAACACCAAATCCGAGACCAAATCGATTTGCGCCAAAATCAATGCTGATCATTTTCTGGAACCGAAGTGGGCCGACTTATTGGGACTTATTGCAAAACTATCAGACCATCAACGCTCAGCGATATTGTCAGCAACTGGGCTGTTGCAATCAAGCAATTGCTCGTCACCGCCGTCGCCAAGTCATTTTGCTACAAGACAATGCAAAGCTCACGTTTCCAAGATAACAAGGAAGAAGTTCGCTGAAGCACTAATTGGACACGAAGAAGTTTTATGACATCAATCATTTGTGCCGAGATTGACTGATTGGTTTGCATTGAGGAATAATAAGTTTTATGAGCGCGGAATGGATTTGCTGCTGGAGCGTTGGCAGAATTGCATCCAGGCAGACGGAGAGTACTACAATCAATGTTATTTGATGCTTTCAATTATTTGGAAAGATAAACTTTTGAATTTTTGGATCAAGTTCGGAAACTTGGATGGAGACCTAATATTTGAAGTTTATAGAGAGCTTTTCTAGTTGCTTCCCTATTGTTTAGAAATCTTACGGATTACAGTGGTAAGTGACATTTGAAATTCTGGAGAATAACTCGAGAGTGTGGAGATCCCATAAACTAATTATAAAGTTTTCATGTGGAAAATGTTTTTCAGTAACTATTCAGTAATGACCCTGATGCTTTTCTAAAAATATCTGAAATATAACTTCTTTTAGTATATGGAAGAGAGCGAAGAAGAATTACAGAAGAGTCTTATCGCGAAAAATACCCGCATAAAGATTCAAGGATTCATAAAGTGTATGTAGAACTATGTATCAAAAAGAGGGAAGATCACAAAGAAACTGCCCAGCTTGTAGAGCAAGTAAAACAATCAATTCAAAGGTACTAATAGCAGAAGAGTCGAGAGAAAGAAGGTCAATCTGTGAGAATAGATATGCTTTATACGCTATACTTTATACGATTAGGATTGTTTAGGCGTAATCTGTCGAGATTGTCGTGAATGGCGACTGCGTGGTCGACGAACGTCAGCACAACGATCGCGAGTTACTGCGTCGGCTTCGACTGCTTCGACTATTTAGGTTTGTACTCCGGCTTCTGAATCTGTTGAATACGTCAGTGACTCTACATGCGTAATAGTGACTGATATTAGTGGACATGTAAAGTTACCGACATGTCGAGCAGAAAAAGTCGGAGCCGGATCGGAAACATAAATAGTCGAAGAAGTCGAAACGCTTACTTGCGGTTCCTGAGCTGACGTTTACGTCGATCACGGAACCGCCATTCACGATCATACAGACGTAGTACAAGACGTCCAATCAGGTAGCGAAGAAACCGATCGTGAAGTCGGTGTCGGTGATCGCGCTGCAAATATCCGAGCAGTAGCTTTTTATTGTTTTAACTGTTAACTGTTTTTCATTATTTGATATGCAAATTGATCAGTCATCGCATAGATCTCCCCAGAAGTTGTATCCAAAAAAAACTTCTCACGTAGTAGATCTTAGCTTATGTGATTTCCATAATTTCTTTTCCTTTTAGTGTAAGTTAGTTTCTCATTTACTCTCTCACATGTCTATTACTAAAATAATTCGCTTATAGGTTTTTTTCAATATTTCAACCTCCGATATTACTGTAGTCCATTTATAGTTGACGGGAGACTTCACGCATCACTCATTTTACTCCATATGTACATTTTTAATCTGTGATATTATCAATATTGTAATATAAAGACTTGCTTCATTTTTGTGGTGCGAGAGCAGGAGATAAAATGAGCGTCACGATGTGTTACTGTGAATACACTCGTACTCTAGTGTTATATTTGGCATTGTACTATCTGATCAAAAGTGAGAGAGCAGATAGCGTATAAAGTTTGAAGACCTCATGGTGTCAACAACATACTGCTGTTGCTTCAGGAACCAATCCTTTTTCAATGCTTCAAGAGATCGTTTCATTATCCATTATACGTATACGATGGCTTATATAATGTGTAATCGACGGGAGGCATTTCAAGCATATCTACGAGTGCATAACGTAAAGAATTTTTCTTAGCTTTCCTTACACTATGTCCACATGATTTAATTACATTAATTATTGATTAGCGGCTATTTGCTCTACAAAATGAATGCCTTCGCTGTCGATATTGTGGAGAGATAAGTGATATTTCCGTCTCATTTGTTGACAACAAAACGGAACTTTCATCTTTCTACATAATTTACCAGTCCACTAACTCCCCATATCCTTATTCAAGAAATTCTCAACCAAAGATGAAGTAATCAAGCAGATGTTTATATTCGTTTGCAGCTTAAGTCAAAGAAAAAGAAAGAGCAAATCCACATCTTGGTCACTTACCTAGATCTAAAGCAATCGCCAAACTGTTGTATTTCTCATCCTGAAACAATTATTATTGTCTAAATGTTCATATTTCGATAACTTCAAAAATAGGGAATCGTACTAAGATTGCTTACTCAAAATACTTGGAGTACGTTCTAGTCGCGAAAAGAAAACACGCTCCGTTCTTGAATTTCATTGTCCAATCGAAAAAATTCAAAATTCTCAATCTCAATGAATGGATGAATTCTATTGTGGGCTTTTTTTTTTTTGATACTAAACGGCAAAATCTGTATTCTAAACATACTTTATCAGTGCGAAGGATGAAAAAGACTTCGAGTGAAGAGTCTTTCATAAACATTTTTTTAGTGTGAAGAACTTCCAGACTCCTAAATCTTCCTCATCAAAATATGTACATTGCATCTATAAGATGGCAACGCATTTTCAACACGTCTTGAAAAATCTGAGAAAAAAATTTTAATGTGCTTCTTTCAAATGAAACATTTGTGACAGCACTCTCAGTATAGAACTGGAGAAAGTGTCGACAGAGTTTCTAATCTCTGATATGTGAATTATATTCCCTGAGAGAAGGTGAGCAATTCTGACGCAGTTCTTTTTGCTCAGAATATGCGTTAAACAATCAACAGTTTATACACTCGTCGTTGATCAAACTCAATACACCTTCTTCCATACATTAGCACCTGTCAGCAGTTTACTCTTTATTTAATGCAATTTCAACAACCTTCGGCTGCTTTGAATTGAAGTGTTTACGTTAAGGTGATCCAGTGTTTCCTTCATTCTAAACAATGCCACCCAAGGAACGTGGTGATTTTAATTTATCCATGGGAAGTCTGACCTAAGAATATAACAAAGTAAAAATTGTTTGCTCATGGAGGAGTCGTTGTCGACAGAAGACAAAACTTCGCAAAATTTGCAAAGATCAGGAATGCTTATGACGCAAAGCTGTAAACGGTTTAGCGCAAGTTCCTCAAGATGGTAAGAAAAAAAAATAAGATTCGCTGGAAGTACAGATTTCATTGACATGACGAGCAACATGTGAAGACGACGATCGTCTCT